GGCTGACACAGAGGGATGAACTGACAGCTCTGTGGTTGTCACCTTGTTCCCCTGCACCCACGTCCCTGAGCTGGGGCAGTGGCAGTAACACGGCGTGGGGTTTGTTCAGCCACAGAGAAAATCACTTCTCGTGGCAGTGGGAGCTTCTGGAGATGTCCTGGTGGGTCTAAAATAAATCCTTGGGGCTTCCTTTTCCCACAGGTTGCAGTGTTCCCTACTTTACATCCCTCATGGGCTGTTTTGTACTTTGCACCAGGAGTTGTGACCTGCTGGGCTGGTACCTGCCTGCTCTGATGGAGAAGTGCTGTAGGTGCAATCCCTCAAACAAAAAACAGATTTATTTTTTTTTCCTCATTCAGCCCCTCCTCCTCAGCCCCACCATTTCAGTTCTGAGATCAAACCACCACAAAAGCCCAGGAATTGGGAAAAACACTATTTTCATTTTACCCAGAGCAGCTGGCAGTCGAGTTATCTTTTACACCAGTATAAGCAGGAGAGGTGTTTGCATAATTGCATGGAAAAGTGGAAAGAACCTGCCAGTTTGGGAAGCTGTGTCTGGCAAAATGAGGCTCCTTCAGCTCTTTTGGAAAATATGGGGAGTGGAAAGCAGCAGGAAAAGAGCCAGGATTTGGGGGAAGAAAAACACAGAGGAAAAAAAAACCAGTTTTGAAACAGAAGAGTCTCCTTGAGGAAAGAAGTGACTCTTGCCTTTGGAGCCTTGGGGATGTAGGAGTAACAAGAGTTTGCTGATGGGGATGGTTGGATCTGCTCAGGATTTATCTGGAGTTTTCCTCTTAGATCCTGCCACGCTTGAAATGCAGCTTGGAGGGAAACAACCCCTCTCCCCACATTAGCCAGGGGTGCAGCAGGTGCAGCCAGCACCCCTCCAGCTGCAGCTGAGCAGGAAGCAGCCCTGTACCACCCCTTAGAGGGTCCCTTTGTGTGTGAAATCAGGAGCAGGGGGCTTGCTGGGCTGCTGGGCTGGGTCAGTGGGAGCAGCAAGGAGTGGCTCAGGAGCAGCCCCGTGCTCCCAGTCAGCTTCAGGAGAGAAGCACTGGTGGTGTCTGCGCTTTACAGAGTTATAAATCATCTGCAAGGAGTAAAACCAAGTTATAAATCATCTGCAAGGAGTAAAACCACGTCCAGCTGTGGGGGAACTGCAGGTAGGGTCTCCTTTGGAGAGGGAGGACGTGAGCAGTGAGTCAGAGTTTGTTCCTGCTTTCCTTGGATCCATCTGGCAGCTCTTTGGGAAGTGTTGTGAACATTGTGAATAACTGTCTCTCTCCTCTCCTCCCCCTGATCTTTCCTGCAGTGGTTTCCAGTGACAGCGAGAGCGACTCGGAGCTCAGTTCCTCCAGCCTGGATGACAAACCCATCCCTGTGGGACTGAAAAGCTCTCCAGGGAGAAAGCTCCAAGCAGGAATGGGTGAGGAGTTCCTTGTGGCTGGAGGGTGGGAGGTGGAAAGTGCTTCGGTGTTTGGCTCTTGGCTCTCCTCCCCTCCTGGCTGTGCCAGGTGAGGTCTGAGCCTTTCCCACTGGGATTTCTCCCTGGCTCTTTCCATAGCCCTGCAGCATCCCAGGAGCTGGGAGCTGCTCCTGGCACCACATCCCAGGCCAGCTCCTCACTCCTGGCTGGAAGCACTGGTGGTTCCTGGGAGCAGAGCACAGGAACTGGGGCTGACCTGCTCCTGAGGGCTCCTGGCTGGGGCTGGGCTGTTCCTGCTGCTGCAGGACCCCATCTCCCACTCCCTCAGCAGCATCTCCATCCTGTCCCTGCAGCACCCACCAGGGGACCCAGCCAGCCCAGCAGCAGAGCCCTGGGGACCCCCCAATTCTGGGGGAGCCACAGCAGCCTGGGCAGCGAGCAGGGCCCCGAGCCCAGCCCCACAGAGAGTGGCCAGAGTGACCAAACCTCGGAGCAGCGCCACAGCGACACCAGCACCAGCACCCCTGGTAAGCTGCACCCCCTCTCCAGGCACATCCCTGCCTTTTGGGGCTGAATTCCCTGCAAGCACAGCTTTCCCAGAGGATGCACACAAAGCTGTGGCCCTGGCATCACTTTTCCCCGCTGCTTTTTATTTTTTACTTTTTTGTACTGGCAGATGCTGTCACATTGTCACACCTTCTTCCCTTCTTCTGCAACATGAGTAATGGTCTGGGGTGGGAGCTGCCTGCACCCACGGCCAGGAGCACTCAGAGCCTGGGGCTGTGGCCCTGCAGAGACCTGGAGCTCCTCTCTGTCCTGCAGAACCAGCAGAACAGACTGAGCTTCCCCCAAAGCAAAGCAAAGTCCAGCAGCTTTATGAGACCAAGTAACATTTTTCCTGAAGTGCGGTTGCTCTTACAGCCAAGCATGGCATTTCCCAGAACTATGCAGTGCAGAAGAAAGACACTTTTTCCCCCTCAAAAACCTCAGAACAATTAAGTGACTGGGAAAGCAGAGGCTGCTATCACACCTGAAGCAGCTGAAAGAGATGCAAATGTGTTCTCTCTGCAGTTCCCACTAATTTAGTCACTAACCCCTCAAGTTATCATCCAGCCCCGCTCCTTCCCAAGCATTTCTGCCCTCTGAACTGCCTCTCCTGTTTTTCCTGAGCCTACTTGGTGCTGGGCATATTGAGGTATAAATTGGATTAGAGAGAGCAGGTTCATCCTTGAGTCGTGGTCCCCCTCCCTCCCTGCCCTTCCTGCTAAAAACAGGCAGCACAAAATTGTTCCTCTGCTCTTCCCTCCCTCCCCAGCTTCCAGAGACTTGCAATTTTCCTTTAGTTTTCCACCAGGCAAACCAAACAAGTGATTGCTCTGCTCTGTCCTTCCTCCCCCTGGGTTAGAGCCCGCCCTGGGCTGGCTGGTTTGTTTTAAGCTGCCCTTGTGCAGGATTAGAGAGGGTGGATTCCTGCTGCCTGTGGGGAGGAGCTGCAGCTTGTCCTGAGGGATTGGAGTGGGTGTTGGTGGACAGCAGAGACCCTTTGGGTGCTGCCTCTGATGGATGGATCCACTCCTGGACAGTGTGTTTGTACTCAGCATTTCTCTGCCTGCTCTTTGTGCCAACTGCTGCCTGGCCATGACAGTGCAAACACTATTTCAGAGGCAAAAAAAACCCCAAAAAAACCCCAAAAAACCCTTTTTCCTGCTATAACCTCCATATGCAAAGCTTGGCACAAGGTGTCAGATCTTTCCAGTGGGATCTCCCCGTGTAGATGGGGGAGAGCTGAGGTGCCAGGCAGCATGGGCAGATATTTAAAGAAGGAAAACTGCAGCACTCTCCTGAGCCCAGTTAAAGCTGGCCCTGAGATGCAGAGAGGATCCTGCTAAGGGAAAGGCTAAGCCAGGTTGGCTGCCTAGGGAGATTCTGTAAAGATCTTTATTATGCCTGGGGTCATTTATTTCTCAGTGTTCTGCAGAAGGAGCTGCTTTGTTCAGACAAGAGCCCTGGGACAGGAGCTCCCAAATCCAGGCAGGGAGGCAGGAAATCAGCAGTGAGTGCTTCAGTACAGTGGGTGCCTCTCTTTGCCCACAAACAGAGACTGTCTTGCTGATGATATATTTAAGAAGTGATGGGTGCTGGATGTCAGGGCTGACAAAACCCTTCCCAGCATCTCCCTGCCTGTGAAACAGCCCCCGAGCTCTGCCCTGCCCCAAAAGCAGAGCAGATCCTTCCTCATTTCAACTGCTGATCCCCAGCTGCAGAATGGGGCTGTTAAAAGATGATTTTCTGTGGTTCCTCTGCACCTTCAGAACGCCCTGTCAGGAGCAATTTTTGCTCCATATTATCACCTTAGGTGTTGTTCCACCAGTGACTTTCTTTGCACTTCTTTTCTCACCTCTGCTCTAACTCCTCTCTCAAGTGTGACTTCGCAGAGCATCCTGAAATCCCTCCAGAGCAGGGAGCTGGGGAGTGGTGCTGCAAAAGCAGCTGCTCTCACAGTCCTGAGCTCTTGCAGCCTGAAGGCCAAGCCAGCAGCAGGGTTTTGGCCAAGGGAAGACAAGGAGCTGTTCAGGAGAGGTCGGAGGTTTCCAGTGCGCCGCTCCAGCTCCGCCTGGGCTTTGCTGAGGCAGATAATGAAGCCTGGAGTTTGTCATAAAATGACTCATTGTCAGAGCTGAGTTGGGATTTAGGCAACCTCAGCCCGTGAGCCAAAGTTTCAGAAGAGTGGTGAGTTGAGAGGCTGCCAATTTTATTATTTTTTTATATTTTTTTTTACCACCTGCTCTCAAAGCCTTTCAAAAGCCCCATTTTCCGAGGGGCTGGTTTGTTCCTTCTGCTTCTGAAGCTCCAGTTGCTGGAGGTGCCTGCTCTGACCTGATAGCTTTCAAGAGGAAGGTCACACACTCATTGTCCTGAAGAATGTTTTATCCTAAAGAAAATTAAATTTGCACATATGGAGAAGCAGAGTTTTCCCTCTTGCTTGCTCCCAGCTAGGGCAGGTGACTCACCTTGTTCTGTCTGCACAGCTGATGCTGAGAGATGCTTTAAAAAAGAGCCAAATCCTCACTTGTGTTGATTATGACGTTTTTATTAAGGAAAGGGAATATTTAACAGAATGAAACAATGAAATAATCAATATCTTACAGTGAAGGGAGCCCAGGGAAAGCTTTTAATGGAGATAACAAATCCAAGCTTAGGCCTGCTGCAGGGGGTTAATTAAACCAAAGTCATCTCCCCTCAGATCAGCAGCAAGTTCTGCATTGATGGGTGCCACTGATGGGGTTCTCAGCATCTTCTGAGGGATTTGTCCCAGGAATGGTGAATCCTGCTGGCTGTTCCATGAGCAGCTGGCTGCTGGGGAATGGGGAACGAGCCTGGCACGGGCTGTGGGGCTGGAGAAACCTCTGATTCCTGCTGGAATCAGGTCTGAGAGGCAGCCACGAGAGAAACTAATGAGTGAGTGCAAATCACAGCCTCCCCATCTCTGCCTGCTTGCCAATGTGTTGTCTAAATCATTAATACTTAAAGAGTGGTGCAGCAGCTGGCACTTCAACAGAGCCACGTTAACCAGGGCTGGGAGCTGAGCTGAGGGGTAAGAAATGTTCTGGTTTGCAAGCACGGGGTGAGAGCTGCTGGAAAGATCCCCAGTGCCATCAGGTCCAGCCTGAACCCTTCTCCTGCATCTCCTGGGTACCTCCTTTGTGCTGGGAGAGGCTGAGCAGGGCTGAGGGAGATGGACAGGGAGTGCTGCTTCCAGCTCTCTTTAATTTGGGGAGATTTATGCCCTGTCTTTCAGGAGCTGACTGGATTCAGAAATGAGGTGGTGTCTCTCTGTGGGCTCAGTGCCTCCCTGGCTGGGGTAGGCATCCACTTTTGCTCATAAATATTCAAGCTGCTAATACATCAGCCAGGCAGAGCCATTCAGCATTATTGTCATGGCACAGAATTCTCTGGGCATCTTTGAAGTTAAAGCATTAACTTCTATTTTCACTTCCATTCTTCTTCTCAGATGTCTGCTTTGCTCCCTCAGGGACCACGAGGAGGTAACGTTTTGCTTCAGTGGGTCTGACTACTCCATTCCATGTAGGAAGGAAAAAAAATTGTCCTAACAATAATTAGGCTCCAAATGAGGTAGTAATTTCTTTAATTACTTGCTTCATGGCAGTCTTTGGGGAGCTGACTTTTGTTTTCCTGTGCTTGGTGAGAAAGTTGCTTGAATGTTTCCAGACTTGTTCAGTGTCTGTGTGGATTTTTCAGGGCTGGTTTTGCAGCAGGCTGGAAGAGGTGGGAAATCCCTGCCCCTCCTCCCTCTGCCTGCATTTAGGGCACAGTTTGGGAAGGACAGAGGGATCAGATATGAAGGAAAGACCCTCACCCACACCCAGCCTCTGCTCCCTTCACTGGCTGCCTCATCAGATTTTGGGTATTTCTCTTTATCCCCTTTTGCTCAGAGCTCTCTGGGATTGAGTTTTCCTGCTGCCAAGGAGGATAAGTTGTCTGTCTTCCCCAAAGTGAAAAAATTGAATTGTGCCTTCATGGCTGAGGAGCTTTGAGCTGTCTCTGCCTCCTCATATCCACAGAGCACCAAGTGGTCCTGCTGTACTTATAAATAAAACATAGCTTTGGGTAGTGGCAGCATTAGGAAATTATTCAAGGTTTGCATCCCAGATACAATGCATTTGTAAATATGAACCTCAGGAGAAGCCTGTGCCCCCTTCCATGTTTGAGGGAATTAAAATATTTTCATCCTTGAGTGGTAGAAGCAAAACATTTTCAGCTCTTTCAAGCCCGCCTCGGAGTTAAGTGAATAAAGGCTCGAGTAACTAAAAAATAAATTACTTTCACTATTCCTGTAATTCTTTATGGAGTTTTAAATTGTAGGCTTCTTCCTTCAAAATAGAGGGACGACAAAGATTCATTCTCTCGGCTCTTTCACTCAATACATCAGGAAACAAGTCTGCTGCTGGGGATGAAACTCCTATTTTTGTGCCTTCTTTTCCACTGCAGAGGTCTGTGCTTTGGTCTTTGATCAAACAGCCTGCCTGGCCTCCTCTCCCCACCTCCTCAGACTCATTCTCTGCCCTCTGCGATGCATTTACCCCTCAGGCTCCCAACCTGCCATTCAGCATTTTGCACAAAGCACCAAGGGCAAGAGCTGGTGTCACCTCTGCAAACAAAGCAGGAAGGAAAGAGCAGGGGAAGTCAGCAAGAAGTGAAAAGCCTGGATTTTGGAGTCTTTGTGAACACAGCGAGGTTCTGTGGTTATCCTCTCACAGGGATGTCAGGCAGCAGCTCTGGGGAGGAATTTGCTCTGGGAGCCTTGGACAATTCACACCCAGCACTGGGATTCTCCTGTCCCTTCTCCAAGAGGAGCAGCAGAGTCCCAGCAGAGCCTGAGCTTGGCCTGAAGGGATCAGCTCAGGTTTGTTCAGTCAGAAGGAGACCAAAATCTGGAGGAGAGCAGATCCTGTGCCCATCCCCAGCCCTGGGCAAGGGCCACGTCTGTGGCAGGCACATTCTTCTCTCTCTCTCAGGATTTTTTCATCGTGGAGCACAGAGGAGAGAAAAAGAAAACAATTTCTATTTCTGCTCCTTCTTTTTCCCATGTGGAATGTGTTTGGAGAATTGTTTACCTGGGGTGATTGCTTGGTTGGGTTCTGGTGAGGATTGTCTGAGCCTGATGGCCAATCCAACCCACCTGGGGCTGGACAGAGAGAGGGTCACAAGTTGTGAGGAGTTAGAGAAAGTAGGTTTGTAGTTTTAGTATCTCCTTTAAATAGTATATTAATGCATTGTAGTATAGTTATAGTAAAGAAGTCCTTCAGCCTGAACTGGAGTCAGACATCAGCATTCTGCCCACCAGGCTCACCTGCATTTTCAATTCCCACCCTGCTGTGGCTGCTGCCCATGGCTCAGCACGTGGAGAGCAGCAAAGTCTCGTGGCAGATCTGCTCTGCCACCCCTCAGAGCTGAGCTGTGCCTTTCTCTCTGACGTGCTGAAGGACCACTTCTAGCAGCACAGCTCCTCATTTCTCCTTCTTTCCACATTTCCTTCCCCTGGCTTTTCTTCCTTTAATCAAGTCTAATGGGCCCTGACTGCTGGACTAATGGTGCATATAGATGTTCTCTTTATTATTTTTAGGAAGCTCTTCAAATGGCACTGAGCACACAAAAGCAACGTGAAATAACTTGGTGGAATCTCTCCCCTTTGCTGCTTTCCAAACAAAACTTTTATTATTTATTTATTTAACTTTCACCCTTTCTTTTTTTTTTTTGAAGGCAAACGACGAGTCCGCAGCAGGACACGACTCTGATGGGGGTGAAGATGGAGCTGCTTTTTCCTGGATCCAGCACTGCCATCCCTCAGATTCCACTCCAGACAGGAACTGCTGCCAGTGGTGACTTTGTGATGCTCTCCCACAGGCCCTGGCACACGGTGGCACCTGGGACAGAGAGCCTGGGGCTGTGACTTGCCCATGGCTCCCGTGGGGAAGGTGCTCCTCGTGTCTGCTTGGAGTGAGTTTCGAGGAGCCAGAACATGGTGAAGTTGTGCTCCTGCTCCCTCCCTCTCTGCTCAGGGTAAAGGAACACTCCAAGGGGAGTTTGCTGTGATTTTTTTCACTCCTCTTGGCCCTGCACTGGCTGGTGGCAGGCTGGGGGTCAGGGGAGATTTGTGTTTGCTGCAGCTCCTGGGGGAACACACCCAGCTGTCAGTACCCAAATTGGATGAAAGCTTTCAAATGATTTTATCTTGTAACGCTCTGCAGATTCCCCTCCCACATGCACACCTTACATGAGCAAGGGCCTTTCTTTTGCCTTTTTCCTGGAAGTCTTGATCATCTGGCTGACTCTGGTGCTGTCATCATGAGTCAGGCTGCTGAAAACTGCATGCCCTGGTCCTGCTTATCCTCCAGAATGGACAGTTTCCCTCTAAGGCCTGACAGATGGGAAAAATCAAATTACCTCACATCTCTAGAGCAATTACATCTTTGAAGACCTGAACAAAACCCACACTGGGAGTCTGTGGATTTTATTAAATGCTTTGGAGCTGACCTGTCTATTTTGAAGAAACAAAGGATTCCAAAAAGTTCCCTCTGAAATCACGGAGTTAAAGGCAATTTGTGGCCATTAATGTCAGCCTTTCCCCTCGGTTATTTCTCTTTTGTTCTGTTTTCCTTTGCTCTGGGCACTTTGTGTGCATGTAGTGTGTGTTCTTACAAATGGCTGCATATGAAGATAAATGAGATTGGGTGCTGGAACACTTGGGCAGGAGATTGGAAATCAATCCCTGAACTTGCTTTTTAGATGAGCATGGCCCAACAGAGGGCCATTCCCTCACTGCTCCCCCAGTTCATGTGCTGGGGCAGGGTGCTGGTGAAATGCTTCCAGCCCTTCCTCTGTCATCTGTTCCTGCTTTTTTACAAACAGACAGAAAACCTTTGGGCTCCCTGAGATGGCAGCAAAAGAAATCACTGAGTGTGGAGTCCACACCATCAGCGTTGGAGAGAGCAAGGGATGGGGTTGTTCTCCCCTGAGGGATGTTTTATGGCATGCTCTGTTGTTAACCTGGCCATTAGCTGCATCTGTGGAATGGGTAATGCCAAAACCATCAGCTGTATCTGAAAAAGTGACTCCAGCTGTCAGCTTTTGCTGAAATACTGGTGTGGTTTCGGAGCTGTTTCTTCTGAGAGCTGTAGGGTCTTCAGTTCCCAGTGTGTTTGGGCACCATAAAGAGTTCTGTTTTGCCTTGAAGCTTTTGACAGTCCAAGTGAGGCTTGTCTTGCTCATTACTGCAGTGCCTCAGCCAGCCTGGCCTGCCAGCCAGAGAAGAGAAGGAAGAAGACTTTTAGGAATTAACTCTGTTTTCTTTAAACCTGTTGCTGTCTCATCACCAGCTCCACACTGAGCTGGAGAGAGCTTTGAAAACGGGAGTGTCATTTCTGACTCTCCTTGAGTGCCTGTGCTTCGCTGCAGGGCAGGCAGGTCACTCGTGTCCCCATTCCCACTCTCATTTCCCACCCTGGGAGGTGCCAGCTCTGCACAGGAGCCTGGGAATCCCTGCTGGGCTTGATTTTTAACTGAGGCCAGCTTTTATAAAACCCTCTCAGAGATAAATTTGACGTTGCTCTGGTGCTAGTGAGACTGGAAACTTTTCTTTCTTACCTGTGCATTTTAACTCCATGGGGTAATTCCACCTGAGTTGGAACCAGAATTGTTCAATCAGCTGTGGAAAGACTCCTCTTGGATTGAGGGAAGGATCTGGACAATGTGATCCAGGCACAACTGAATGTGACAGAGGAATATCTGCAGCTCTGTGCACTATTTTATTTTGAAGACCACTTTTCCCTTTGTGGTGATTGTCTTGGTTGGGTTTTGTATTTTGTATTTGTTGGAATATTATCCTCAACCTGTACCTGTCTTTTGGGCCAGCTCAATGTGAGCAAGAAGAGCTCAGTGAATGTGCTTAGTCTGCTCTGGTCATTTGTGTTTATTATTTTCTTGTTCTCATCTCCATCCCTCACAACTTTTATGTGGTGTTTTACTACTGGAAACAATAAAGCTTTTGCTCAGTAACAGCTCCTTGCCATTTGTGAAACAGTAAAAAAGCTTTTTTTGTAGATACTCTCCAAATCCTCCAGCAAGGCAAGACAATTACCCAGCCAGTGGAACTGTGGTTCGTGTGGCTGGACTTTAATTGAATCCTGCACTTGAAAGTCACCTTTTGTCTTGTCCCCTCCTCTGTGCCTGGTTGGCAGGGGCACAGATCTGCTCCTTCACACTTGGCCCACCAAGAAGTGTCTCTGTGTTGTTCGCCGAGCTCGCACAGCCCTGGCTCTCCTGTTCCCTCAGCATTCAGCCTCAAGGTTCCAAATAGCTTTTTAATCTGTTTTTGCTCTCCCCCCGCTCTGCAAGCGCCTCGGTAATTGCTGCTGGGATTGTTCTGCTGGGGAGCTGCCATCAGGCCAAGGATGGAGCGTGTCAAGGACTGAGCAGCTCTTGTGCTGCTGCTTCCCCTCCTGCTTGCCATGACAACAGCCACCAGATGGGAGAGCCAGCTGTGGGATCTCTGCGAGCCACAAACACTGCCCAAGGATTGCCAAGCTCCCCTGGCTGGTTTTACACTTTATTTTGGGAGGGGAGGGCAGTGCTTCCCCCAGCAGAGCACATCCAAAGGGAATGGGTGACCAGCTGGTGTTTGGGCAACGCGGTGCTGAGTCTGGAGAGCCAGCAGGAGGGCTTGGGCAGTCAGACAAACTGGCAAATAACCTCTGGAGCTCATTTGGGAGATGGAGCTTGGCAGCAGTTGCTCCCCTCCCCTCCCAGAAGTTGTTTCCTTCAAGGGGAGAGGGCTGGTGGTGTCTCAGCAGTTCCCTTTTCTTCCTCCCCACCTTGATGCTGCTCTCCAGCCTGCTCCCTGGTGGGTGGAGATTCTTGGAGGAGATAAGAATCTGAACTGAGTAGGGAATGCAACTAGCATAGAAGACTGTGTAACTAATTATATACAAGTTGACTTTTAGGCCAAGGGCAATCTGCAAGGAAGATGAGGAGCCTTCATTCCTATGACCACCAAGGGCAGAAAAAAATACCCCCTAGCAACCAATTGCACTGGCACAGAGTGCATTGAGAGAAAATATGTCAACTGGAAAAAAAAAATAGGGGACTATAAAAACAAAAAGGTCAGAGGGGGCAGGTGCACCGTGGCAGAGCAGAGGCTCCCCGGCCGCCCAGTGCTGTTCTTTTGCTTAACACCGCTTGCTTAATAAATTCTTGTTAATTTATTTATCTATAATTAGCCTCCCCAATTGAATTTGTCCATAACATCACCTCCTCCCACTTATCAGCCTGGTGACTTGCTGCTAATCAGAGCCTGATCAGGAGAGGGAGCAGGCAGAGACACCTCCCCAAGTGTGACTGACCTGTGATTCCAGAGCTGACAAATTCCCACAGGACCCTGGCTGCTTTCAGTGATTTGCAATTACACAAATTTCTGTTCCACCTCTGTTGTCCCATCCCGTGGGAGCAGCCCCTGGGCTGTGGGAGCTGCCCTGGTCTCGGGTTTGGGACTGGATTTGGGAGCTGGTGGGGACATCACACCTCTGAGACTGGGCCTAACAGCCCTGCAGGGTGTTTCAGAGACTCATCCTTAAAAGAATTCCCAGACTGATCCATCCCCAGCCCCTGGGACAGCAGCTGGATCACCCAGAGCCCAGCATTCTTTATTTCTCAGCTGGTGAAGCCAAGCCCCAGAAAACCTCAGTGACCAGCTGAGCCCCAGTGTGGGAGAGCAGGGGCAGGAGGAGCAGCAGTGGAGCTGCTGACAGGAGAGACTTTCATCTTCAAATGGCAAAATTAAACCCCTCCAAGCAATTCAAATGGTGCCTTGGGGGAAAGAAAAAAAAAATAAACTGAGAAATGCAAATGAGGGATGTAAATCTTCCAGTACATGTTTAATTAGCATCATTGAGCAGCCTTGATGTGGTAAGTGCTGAGGAGGAAACTTGCCAAATTCCCCCAGTTTTGATAGCAGGTGACTTGTTCTCTTTGAATTTCCACCTTGTGATTGTTTTTCTGTACTTGCCAGAGTTGCTGTGCTGCCTGTAGCATCAGCAATTGGCTCTTGTGTGCTGGGCATCTTGGCATGGAATTTATTCGTGTGATAAATAAGAATATCCCTGTGAGGGTGTGGGTTAGGGAGTTCCTGAGCTTTTGTTTCTCCCTCAGCCCTGCCTGTCCCAGTTCTCTGCTGCTAATTGGTACCACATGGATATTTTCCACACTGATAATGTTTGTGGGTTGCCTGGGAATTGCAGGTGAGGCTTTCCCCCTCGGGCACTGCCTTGCCGGGTTTGCACCCTCTGGGTCCTGCTGTTTCACAGATCTCTGTTCCTCCCGCTGGCATTAGGATGATGGAGCACTTGGGGAGCATCAACAACAATGATGCTGCACCCAAACAATGCCTTTCACTTCCCTCCTTGCTTTTTCTGTCGGTTCCCCATTCAAGCTTAATAAGATCAGCGCAGATAAATTTCTGCATTCGTGCAAAACATCTTTTTCCCTCCTGTGCTTTGCCAGCTGCACTGCAGTCGGGAAGGCAAATTCACATTTTCTTCTGCTTGGTTGTGAATGGGGGCATCTGTTCCTGGAAGATGGGGAAAGGAGGGTGAAAGGGCTGGAAGGGGAGAGTAGAAATCAGATGCAGCCTGGTACATCACCTCTGTGGAGAGGGAAGCGAGCAGGAGTCAGATTTTTGCAGCACAGGCTCAGTCCTGATGTATTTTGGAGACACCAGCGTGTGGGAGAGGCAAAAAGAGGTTTTGCTTAAAGGGTCAATCATATTTATAAGGCTTTCTCATTTCATCTTCCCCAACAGGTCAGCACAGCCACCCCACAGTGGGGCAGGGATGCCCCAGGGAGCTCAGCCCCACCGTGACCAAGGTCTGGGGTGGCTCCTGCTCCTCCCTGGCTGGAATCAATCACTCCTGCCTGGCTCCCCGGGCTCTGTCCCCACCTGTGCCAGCTCCTGCACCCCTGACCCTGCACCGATGGCACAGGCAGCTGCAAGCCTGTTCTTCCTCCAAAGCAGGAGTTTTCCAGCCAGAAATTCTGGTGGTGTCCCTCCTGTGGAGGTGAGAGTCCCCCCGACCCCTCTGCTGGATTCGTTTTTGTTTTGTGAGTTCAGAAGTTTCTGGATATGAACAGCATTGGAGTGAAATGCACTCCACTTAAAATAAGGATAAAAGTTTCCCAGAGGGTCTTGACATGGCTTTTAGGAGTGAGAAGGTGCCCATTTATCAGCTGAGTGGCTGAAGCAGAGATGGTTTTGAAGCTGTGCAGGGAGTGGAAATGTGGTGGGTGGGGGCCAGGCTGCCTCCCTCACCTTCCTCAGAACAGAGCTGGGCTCTGAATCCAATCCCCCAGGCTTGGATTCACCCAAGTGAGCAGCTCCTTAATGCTCCTTTTCTTTCCAGTTTCTTCAGGAGAGGAAGCAGCAGCTGTGGGGTGGTTTGGGTGAGTTTTATTGATGTGGCAGCATCGTTGTGTGCACCAGAAAAGGGGAGAGAGGGCTGCTCCAGCTCACAGCATCCCAGGGAAAACTCCCCAGCAGGAATCCCTGCAGGATTTGCTGCTGCTGGGTTCAGGTAGGTTTAATCCCAAAGGCACTTTGGGGTTTTTAGCTCTTTGCATCTTGCAGAGATAAATCCCTGTAATTGCAGACTTGTGGTTCCCCTAAACCTGGATGGAAATGGTTTGGATACTCAGGGCTGGTCCTGCTGTCAGTTTGGCCTTCCTTTGGAAGAAACCAGCAGCAATTTTGGGGGCTGGAGGTGCCTGGGAGTGAATGTGCAGCTCCTGCTCCCTCCCAAATCCTCATTCCTGGGGTTGTGAGGGGATGTGGTGACTCCCTGAGCAGTTCTGCTCCAGGAAAGCTCTCAGGGACACACAGCCAGGCAGCTGCCACCTCTCACCCTGTCATTTTGTGGGTGGGCTGCAGGACTCTGTGCTCAGATATTACTGCACTCCTTTAATGCTGGAGCAGGTTCTGCTGTGGAGCCCAGGAGGGGAAACTGCTGATTTCTCACAGCTCTATAAACCTGATGCTGCCACCAAATTGTTGTGATGCTGCTTTGAAGGGATTTTTGCCTTTCTGTGGTTGCACAGTCTATACTTCTAAGCTAAGAAATCAAGAATCAAATAATTGAATCTCCCTCCCCCTTTCCTGTAAAATCAAGCAATTGAATCAAAGAGCACGTGATTTGAAAAGACAGAGAAAGGAGTTCATTTTGGGTTCCCTTTATTGGCCTCTTAAATTCTGAGCTTTGCAGCCTGCTAGGAGTGTTTTATCGATCCCTTTTCACAGCTGTGAGTAGGATGGACTGAACTGCCCCTTTTCCTGGGACCTGGGAGGCAGCAGGAGCTTGTGGGAGCTGGGGAGGGGACAACTGAGGCTGGGTGACCCCAGTGCTGAGGCTGGGGGTGGATAAGGACTGTAATGAGGTGTGAGGAACACCTTGAGGAGGGAAAATTTCGCTGTTTGTCAGCACCCTGAGTGTGGGAATCCAGAGCTTCCCTCTGGCTGCCCTGGCAGGTCTGGGACCCTGGCAGGGCTCAGGAACCCCCCTGGACAGAGCCCCCAGAGACACTGGCTGTGATCTCTGTCCATGGAAAAGAGTTTTCAATCTTACAGGATGAATTACCAGCTCTGAGTGTTTGATATGAGTAATAATTAAGTGTGGCACGGGTGCAAAAGTAAAATTTTAGGGTTCTAGATTAGGGATCCAAAGGGGACAAGATGGAGGAAATTGGGTGTGCCTTGTCCTTTTTCTCCTTCTTCATGCCCTCCATGTTTCACTGTGGTGTTGGCATTTTTCTGTTGGTTTAGGCTGGGGACACACTGTCCAACGTAGGTGACAGATATTGGCACGTTATTGTAAATCCAGCACAGGTAGTTTGTGGTATTTAATGTTTGTACCATCCCACTGAGGGCAGAGCCCCACACGCTGCCCTGCAGGACAGAGCTGCGGCAGGGCAGCAGAACATGTTAGAGATAAACAGAATAAACACCCTTGAAACCA